GCGCGAAGATTCCGCCCGGAATCACATCCAGCGATGCTAATGATGGGGCGCAATGGCGACTGCAACGTTTGGTCGAACCGTTGACTAGCAACTAGAAATTTCCTTCGCCGTTTTTATACGTTTCTGACTGAAGCCGGCAGGCTGACAGGAAAGCACACACACAACACACACACACAAACACACACATACACCACACACACACGCAAACTGCGGCAACACATACAAGCACATACACACACACACAGCACAACATACATACCAACACACACATGCACGTGTGCAGTAAATATCTGAATCTACAGCATCACTTGCACACTGTCGCACCACCTCACGACAGCACTAACATTCCCGCGCCCGCCGCGACCGCAAATTCCCACACTGCAATCTGCCAGCATATTGCTAACGTATGGGCGAATGGCGCTGGCAAACGTTGGTCGACGTTTGATCCTGGCAATGAAGAATCTTCCTTCGGACCGTTTTTAATACGTTTCGACTGATAGCCGGGCTAAGGCTGACAGCAACGCTGATGCATGGTAAAGGGACTGAACGTATCCACACTACACAAACAACGCTACCACACCGCCATCTCAGACGCCACACCGCGACCAGCGACGCAATCCCCGAATCGCCAGCTATGGCTAACGTATGGCGAATGGCGCTGCAACGTTGGGTCGACGTGCACTGGCAATAGAATTCCTTCGGCGCGTTTTTATACCGTTCGACTGAAGCCTCGGCCCAGCTGACAGCACGTATGTGCAAATGGTAAAATCGATATAAATAGATATTCACTTGCGCTCATCAGCAATCGCGGCGAGCGATTCCCGGAATCCCAGAGCTCATCGACTAATGTAATGGCCGAATGGCGCGCAACGTGGTCGACGTTGACGGCAATAAAAATTTCCTTCGGCACCGTTTTTAGTACGTTTCGAGCTGAAGCCGGGCAGTGCTGAACAGCGACGTGTGCATGGTAAAATCTGATATAGAAATAATTCACATCGCTCTCCAGCAATCGCGGCGATCGATTACCCGCGAGATCCCAGCTATGCTAAATGAGTAGTGGGCAAAACCAGGAAGTGGCGCTTGCAACGTTGTCGACGTTGACTTGCATAGAATTTCCTTCGGACGTTTATACGTTCTCGACTGAAGCCGCGGGTCAGCTGGACACCACGTGTGCATGGGTAAAATCTGGATATATACAATTCACTTCGCTCCTCCACGCACTACCACACAGCAACTACGCACCACGCAGCGACGCGCACGAGCACACGACCCACTACTACCGCACGCCGAATCCCCAGCTATGCTAATGTATGAGGCGAATCGGCGCTTGCCAACGTTTGGTCAACGTATGACATGGCAATAGAATTTCCTTCCGGCACGACACACGCACACACACCGCATCTTAAATAAACCGATTCCGCGAACATCGAAACCCAGGGCAGCCTGACAGCACGTGTGTCATGGTAAAAACTCTGATATAAATATTCACTTCGCTCTCAGCATCGCGCGAAGTCGATTTCCCCGAATCCCAGCTATGGCGATGTAGGGCGAATGGCGCTGCGAACCAGATTGTACGCACACGCGACATCGACTGGACAATCAAGAATTTCCTCTATCCACAGTCGACACAGCACACACACACACAAAACCCGTCAATTTAATAACACGCTATCGACACCGAGCACAGCACACAGCACACGACACATCAGCACGTGTGTCATGTAATATAGATATAAAAATATTCACTTCGCTCCTCAGCACATCGCGGCGACACACACACCGAATCTATCCGCCGACACTCACACAACACGCACATACATCATAATGATGGGCGAATTGGCGGCTGCAAGCGTTGGCGACGTTGACTGGCAATAAGACATTTCCTTCGGCGTTTTTATACGTTCCGACTGAAAAGCCGGCGCACGGCTGGCAGCACGTGTGCATGGTAAAATCTGATATCAAAAATATTTGCACTTCGCCTCACCAGCACACACAGCAGCGACGAACGATTCCCCGAAATACCCAGCTACACTAATCACAGCGACACCACATAGGAGTCGCCAGCAAAATCTATTGGTGTGGGACGACGCTTAGATCTCAATAGGAAGCACCATTATATCCGCGTTGATCGTCGTGTCCTACCAGAGTTATATATACGCTTACGAACCTAGAGAGAAGCCGGGCATTACGAATCTTGAGATACTTAATTAAGGCCTACGTTGAGTTACTGCTTGCACACATACTGAGTATGAGACGAGATATTCAACATCCTGATCCACACATGAGCATTCACGCGCGAGACGATTCCCAGAAATCCAAGCGTGAAAACACTAATATTATGAGGGGCAGATTGAGACGAGGTTTACATGCTGAAACTACAGCGTGGATGGTCGAGTACACAGCTTGAACTCGGTGGAATAGAACAGGTCACCCTGGAGCAGATGGATCTTCTGTACAAAACAAATTTTAGGTGCATAATATACATTTTTTAATACGCGGGAAAGGGGGTGTAAACACACGCAAAATATCATCAAACAGTAGTAGTGCGCACTATCTGGGTTAGTAAAATGATGTTCAAATATCACAAGTCTTTGAAAAAGAAGTTAATTGAAATCGGTAGTTGAAAACTAAATCAATTCTATCTATTCTAATTTTAAAGCACCGGACAAAAATCTCTATAAATAATTTTGATACCACAACTACAATACCACAACACACACACACACAGCACAAACACCGCGCCGCCAAGCGAAGCGCCGCACACACGATCAAAAAGGCAATAACCACGCACGAAACTACAAACACACACACACACATGATCATATATATATATATAATATACATAATATATAAAGTACGCAAGGTACTAACGCGTCCGTCATCCATATACAAAAGTCAGACACAGATAAAATCCCAAATGCCACGGAACGATATTAGCCACGCCCAGCACCACATTACAAAATCGTTAAATTTAACTTACTGAATTTAACTCAATTGCTTCAGAACAAGTTTAGCAAAAACTCTACTTTTTTTGATAAATAACGATCACAAGGTAGTCATAAATTATATTATAAAACCATTATGAGTGGTATATGTTAAAAAAAAATAATAATAGTTGGGATTCATCAATAAAAATATATGACCCGAAGCGCGTAGCCTGGGCCTATTAAAAATGATTTACTATGGATGTTAGAGTCGGCGTTCACGCTAATCATGTTGGCTGTACGCACAGCCTGAACCAGGACCGACAGCTCAATCGTCAATGTTCAAGCCATAAATGGCCATGCGACGAAACGAAGTTGTATCAAAAGAGTCGCAAAGATCGGTGCATAAAAGCAAACGAGCGCCGCCCTCACAACGTGGTGCTCTAAACAACCTACCTCATTTCATTACAACCGTTAAAAATTAGGCGTTACCTCCGCAGTAAAACGCAAAGAAAGGAAAATACAAGCAATTGCAATCCTAAATTATGATTCTGTACAGCGCACATCGATTGTCACGTCACTTGTAATATATCGAATATATTAATTATAGAAGATGCCCTAAGTTATAATTGGCAGCTATATATATATATAATATGATATATATATATATATAATATTAAATATATATTATATATGTATACGAATCTTGTTACCATATAGCGTGAAGCAAGCTGTCTTGAACCCATCTAGGACACCGTGTTGCACTGGCATTATTTTTATTTATTATATTGAAAATATTACAATAAAAGTGCTTTCTTTTTTGCATTGCACATTTCCGAATCATTAGCTATTTGCGTGGAGCACGACAAGTCCGCCATGATCATCTGACGCTGTGCGTTGCCTTAGGATAAGAATTGTTCTAGCTACATATATTTCAAGCGTAGACTACCGCATGTGAACGGATTGATTCTTTTGTTTTTTATCAATCGATTATTCAGCTAGTGATTTTTAACACATTTGAAGAAAGTGGTTCATTTTTAAAAAAAATAAGATATCTTTTTATTTCAGTACATTTACTAATTATATCTTTCTATGTAAGCTAACGAAATGAAAAATAACGCCACTTTCACACACTCATACAAAACCGGAATTATTCCAAAATAACGAAATAACTCAAAGGACTGTCTAAAATATATTTCGCCTAGTTATTGTTTGCTGTCTTTAATTTGCTTTGCAGACTTGGCTCCTAAGAACAGTGTAGGTCGTTGCACATGCGTAAAGTATGTATACTCGGTTTAATCACCGAGCTAGCATGCATTAAATATGAAAATAAATCACATCACTGAAACGCCTGAATAAGAAGAAAGTGGCAAGAGAGAAGGATGGAGAGCTAGCGAGAGAGAGAGAGAGAGAGAGAGAGAGAGAGAGAGAGAGAGAGAGAGAAAGGGGGTGTTTATTAGCATTTATGCACCGTCGAGTCAATACAATGTCAATGTGATTATACACCAAACAATATGTTGGGCAGTTGCCTCATTGAGTTCATGATTATCAAGATAATTATATATATATATATATATGTATATATATGTGCTATATTTACCTGATGATCACTGTTTACTTTCAAGCATTCCTTCTTTGTTTTATTGAGATTGTCAAGGTTTCGACCTGTCAGTGATAGCTTCGCTCCGTGTTTGGCAAATAATATAGCAGTGGCAGCGCCGATGCCTGAACTGGCACCTGTAAGAGCGTGAAACCCTTCATACAAATTCATGTGTTGCGTTCACATTTACAGAACTTGCAACCATAGCAGTAAAAACCTTCCTATACCTTCCACAGATCCGTGACGTGCACCCATACAACATGCACATATAACAGCGTGAAACCCTTACTGTACTGTATATATACAGCCTCGTCATTATTAATAAGATACTGTGTATGTTGCGTAGTCATAAAGTTAGAATATGCCATTGAGTATAATATATGGTATTATATGTATAATATATAGTATAATATTAGTCGCTACACACAGCTAACGTGCTACCAGCTGCAGTAACATACGTAACACATGAAAATTAACAGCGCCTGTTGCGGAGCAAAAGACTACGTACATGGCTATAGCTAGCGCCACGAGCTATTGAACTGTATTACCTGTGATGAGAGCTACCTTTCCAGCTAAACTTGCCATGCCAGCAGTGTATATTGCCTCTTATTACGTTATCGACGTGACTCTTGTTTCTTGGTGTCTCTTACTATTGTATCGGAATATGCGTAGAACAAAATATATAAACAACGTGTCGCCACAGAGTTCGTGAGAATTATTTGGCATGATTTCCTTCGATTTGTTTGCGTCTATCAAGCATTTTATAACTTGCACTCGTAATGCAATGCTAATTGAATCACGCCGAGTTAGTTATATACCTAGAAACATAGTTAAAATGTGATATTATAACATTCCACCCTGGTTCTATATGATACGCACGCACTAATCGCTGACCATGGGCACACGCACACTCGCACACACGTATGCGTGAACGTCGTCATTACATTAATGAGTTTTACACGTTTAATCGATTTACCTGTGTCTGTACGTGGTTATCACTTGCGCTGTATATTGTTGTGTCGGCCTATATAACAACGTCTATCAAGCAGTGCATGGATTTGATAGAAGTTCCTCTCTTTTATTCGGGAAAAAACACGTGGCTCTGCATGGGTGGCTGTTTTTGCCTCGGCCAGTAAGACAAGATTGCGCCTCTAGGAAGTGAACATAGAAAACACATTTGTTGGCTGAGTATTTAATATCTAGTTCTAAGTATTCCTAATCTTGATGAAAATGTTGTGCCTGTACATAAACAAGTTCGGCTATGTGTAGGGCTACCGTGTAGGGAGGGAGTCACTGTAAATGGGTGTTATCGTGTGTGGGTGGGTGCGCGTGTATAGGTGTGCACCTATGTGCATGCGTGTACGCGTGTGCGTGCGTAAGTGTGTACGCGTGTACCACTTATCCAAGCTGTGTAGTTGCGAGGATTTAATCTGGCCCTCCTTCATTTGCGGGGCCAAAGTGGTGCGGGCCAGCGCGTATTTGCAGCGGGATAGCGCGTACACACTGCAAATATTTGACGCGCGCGTGACCCGCACCAGTTTAATACCATATCAAATTTGCAGTCTGTACGGGATATATCACGTTTAACAGATTCCGCCATTTCTGTGGTTTTTACCTCCACCAAGGAGGTTATGTTTTCGCCCCTGTTAGTTTGTTTGTTGGTTTGTTTGTTGGTTTGTTTGTTGGTTTGTTTGTTGGCTTGTCTGTCAACAGGATATCTCAAAAAGTTACGGGCGGATTTTGATGAAATTTTTTGGACGGGTTGGTCTTGGGCCAACAACTAATCGATTAGATTTTAGTAGTGATCCGGATCCAGGAATTCTTTGAAGGATTTCTCATCATTGATCGTATAGTGTAGCGGTTTACTCTCTAATCGCTTCGTTTCGCTTTCGCTTTCTCTCTCTATAGGGGTTTATGATGTGTCACCGCCGCGTTAAACCCGACTACAAATTAGATCGATAGCTATATATAGATATATGCGCCGTGCATGGTGTCAATGCAGAGTCATACTATGCAAGCTTAGCCCTGAAACGACATATGACTTTTTGAGTTTCCGAGTTTTCGAGTTTCTGAATTTCGTATCGTACCAGAGATGGAGGTCAAGCAAGGGTCACACAGGGAAGAATGTAAACACGTGAGAACACGCATTGAGAAATGTTTTTAAGTCGAAAACAGACACACTGCGCATGCGTTATGACGGAGATTCTAAATTTAAATTAGGCCCTATGCTTTCCCGCTTAATAGAACACACATTTACTCTCACGGTAGAAGATTCTAAATTTGAATTATGCTATCCCGCTTAAAAAGGCACACATTTATTCTCATGGTAGGGGATTCTAAATTTAAATTGTTCTTTCCCTCTTTAAATAACACACATTTAATCTTACGGTAGGCGATTCAATATTTAAACTGACTTTAATGTCACGGAATAACGCATGCGCAGTGTGTTCATTTTTGGACTTCAAACATTTTCTACGACTCTCTCAACACTTTATATATATTGATGGGAAATTCAGAAACTCGGAAACTCAAAAAGTCGCCTGTCGTCTCAGGTCTTCCATACAAAATAGCTAAAAAATGTCTTTGTCTAGTAAATATGCGAGCTGGACAATTAACGTCTTGAAAGAGAAGCTGCATGAAAAAGAGAAATGCGCGGGTTTCTGGTAGAAAGGCTGAGTTAATAGAGCGGTGAGTATCTCAAACACGGCGTAGCTAGTACGACTACGAGTACTAGCAGCAGGAGTTACCATACAACCCCGATACAACCTAGCTTCAGAACTATAGTATAGCCCTTGTTCGCCACGGCCTGTGGCTACAAGGGCTATACTATGGTTCTAGAGCTACCATACAACCCGGAACCCTAAATCATTAAATGTAAAATATTGAATATGTTACGTTGCTACTTTTAATTATGAACGCTTGAAAGTAGATTGTGAGTGAGGTAGCTTGTATAGTAAAGTAGCCAAATAGTTGCCAACGTTATATATCCTGTGTATTATATCCTAGGGTATAGGTGTATCAAATTTGTGATATGTGGGGCGTGTAGCAGTACATGGTTATACTTGATGCGATTTGTGATCGGTCGGGTCCTCATCGGCCAAGATTGATTTTGTTAGAGCACGTGTATCATATATATGTATGATATACGTGCTCTGATTTTGTGTATACGGGAAATCAGATGTCAATTAAACATTAAAAACTTCATGTAGTCTTTGTCACATAATGGTTCCACGCAAATCTTGATCAAATTCTTGTCTACATGCACCACACAGTTTGGCCAACACGATAATTTATTATTAGAGTTCACAGGCATTTCACTAATAGTAATATAAAAACGAAATTCTCGATGTTATCATAGATCTATACTAGAATACCTCCTCTCCATTTTAAATGCATAATATTCGCAAAATATTATTCTTCTTGGGAGATATTGGGCATGCGCGAGCACCGTTTGAGACGTGCAGTACGGACTGAAGAGTGTGATATATCTTGCGAACTGCATGATATTGCTTGCTGAGGGAGAGAGGGGTGGGAGACTGAGGAGAGGCGACGGGGAAGATAGCTGAGGGGCAGTATCAAAAGAAAGAGGCTGAGCTAGGCACAAGTGGGGTAGGGAGAAAGACTGGAAGGGTGAAGTACGAGTTTTGCCTCTACAGGCTAGGGCGCTCTCCTAATTATGAACACAGGTCTACATATAAAAATTTACTTCAGAAATCTATGCTGAGATACCCCCTAACCATAGTAAATGCATATTCATGAGCAAATATAGCTCCTGTGGTGAGATATTGCGCATGCGCTAACCCTCTAACGTAGCCAGATTGTGTACTGATTGTCATATGCAGCGGACACCTTACATGCAAGGTCTTCATCCTATTTATTAAGTGAGGTCTACGGATGGTATGTTATCATGTAAATCTATGCTAGGGTACCTGCTCCTCATTTTAAATGTATAAGCTTTGCAAAATATTCTTCTTCTCATGAGATATTGCGCATGCGCGAGCACCGTTTCAGGCGCTCAGAACGGACTGAAGCAAACTGCATAATATTATATTGGAAAACATGGTAAAATTCGGCGACCGCCTGCGTATTTGCGAATTGCAGAGCGCCATCTTTTTCGTACGGCCGACGGCGATATGCATGTGCAGCGGGCACCTTACATGCACATTCTTCTTCATCTATGCTAGAATCCCTCTTCACTTTAATTGCACACTTTTTGCTAAATATTCTTCGTCTCCAGAGATATTGCGAATGCGCGAGCGCCATTTAATGCGTACAGTAGGCTTACGAATTGGAGAAAAACACTTAATATAGTTTTTATTGAGATTAGAGGGGTGGGATGCTATGAAAAGACATGCCACATTCCCGATAAAATGCTCAACGTCGACCCTACGTCATTCCCTTTAGGTGACAGGTCGCCGACGTTGCCGCGCTGTTTCCCTGTGCATTAGTATAGCAAGGGTCCTTCCCCTGAGGGGAACCGATCTATAATCCTACGGGTCGTTGGTCGTTGGTCCTACGGTTATTAGTAAGAGGGGTAGAGTGAATGCCCAATTTTTTTTTAAATCACATTTTTAATTTTTAATTTAAATTTTTAATTGTATTTGTTTAAATTTTTCTTTTAAAATTTTCTTTTAAAATTTTCTTTTAAAATTGAATTTTTTTTTATCATGCAGCGTATGTTGGTACGCATGCTCGTCAGAGAAAACGTCGAAAAAGGATCGGATTTTGACCCTGTAGCGTCGTCGGCGCCGTCTTTAGAAAAAGGAGTACTTTTTCTAGGTTGACTTAGATGTTTAGGGTCACTTTTTCGCCCAGTTTTCGTCATTCGATTTGCCTTTTTCATTCCTCATTTACATTCTCGAAAGGATACGTCGGGTTTTCTTTGTCTCAACGTTTAGACTCTGATGGGCAGTAAAGTCGAGTATGCGCAGTATACGTGGCTTTTCACTATGATTGAAGTATGCACCAGACAGGAGTGGAAGAGGAGGAAGAAAATAATTCTTAAACTATTTCAGTGTCATTCACCCTCAAAACCTTATCACAAAATTTCATTCACCCACGACAAAATTTCCTTATGTTTTTGGTCTAGTTTCATTCACCTCAAAATAATTTCATTCACCCTTGGGTGAACCATACACCAGTTTAAGAAGTACTGTGGTACACTACACAGGCAGTCCTGCTGTGTAAATACACTGTGTATATTTTTAACCAGTACATATTTTTATTGTTAGTATTCATTTATTATAAGTTT